TAAAATTGAAATAAAAATAAATTTAAATTTGCAGGTTAGGATAGAAAAATTTTAAAAACTACCTCCACCAATACAGCATAAAAGGAAACCGTACTGACCTCTTCACTGTTAATACCATCTTTAGGGATCAGGAACACTCGGATTGCAAGTTGTGCGTGCAGGATGAATTAAAATGTCTCATTATATATATTGATTGAATATATAAGTAGGAAGGGCAGTACGGGCCGTAAAGGCCCTATGAGAATCATATCAACAAAAAGCTGAACAGCTCGCCTAGAGGACTGTAAACATATAACATATACATGTTTTTTTTAAATATATATTTATTGTTAAATGTTGTTTCATTTCGTTAAATATATAAGTGAAAAAGCATTTGAGTATATCGTTGCTTCTTACAGGCGCTACTGTGGATCTTATTTAATCAGAATACCAATTTTTTAGATGGACGGATAAAGCAGTTGTTCGGCGTGCATATTTCAAATTAGCGCAGAAATATCATCCGGACAAAAACCCGGAAGGACGAGAACTGTTTGAACAGATCACCGCAGCGTATGAGCTGCTTTCATCGAATGTGCAGCATTCTACTCTTCCAGATTTGCAGCGCATTATTCTGTGTTTACAGGCACAATCGCTTGTCTATATGCGTCATTCGAAAGGTTCATTTTTTGAAATTTGCGGATTGAATATTGAAATTTGCGGATTGAAACGGGAATGATTCAATTGCAATTTGGGCTAGTTAGAAATTAACTGTTAATGTTAAATATCCAACTGTTAATGTTAAATATCCGGCCGAGGATTATAAATCAGTTAACAATGAATTATAAGTGTTTTCCAGGGAGAATAGTTTTCAGCTAATTTTTAAACCGTTGTAGCACCTTGGATGCCAAAGTGTCAAAGGCGCATTGAATACAGAAAGCAGGAAAGAATGAGGAAAAGGAGGCAAGAATGTGATTTTAGATTTTTGTGGAAATAAATTTTGCAGAACTTTCCCCGTACAAATATGCTGGTTATGGGCAGCTGATAAAAACGATTGATTTGGAAGCAAAAGATGAT